TCCTAGTATACAGCAAGCAACTACATTTATTTAAAAATCCCCACTTACTCTGAAACCATTAGTCATAAGAAGTTCCTTCCTTGCGTATTGACTTCCCTAAAAGTGCTTGCATGAATAAAAATAGCTTGAGTAGTATGGAGGCTCAAAATGTAAGTGATTGTTTTAAAGAGCCAATTGAAATTAGAGAGACCCCAGAACTGAGAAATAATTGTATCCTTTTAATTCTAAAAATAATAATTTGACATGAGCACTGCAGAATGTTTTCCTTTGTTACATGCTCATTCTGCTGGCTGAACTGAGGAAGTGCCTGATGCGCGGGGTATTGGAAAGCCAGGCTGCTATAAACTGAATGCATTGAGTAAAAAAAACTCTCAATCAACATCAGCACAGATTCTTTATTGCTTAATTGGGGCCATCTTGCAGTTTCTAAGAGCTATTGGGCATGCTGTTCGTTTAAAAACTGAAACAGCAACAAATAAACTTTCAATGCATCAAGATGAACCGCATCATAGTTACTGATGCTCAAAATATTGAGCGCTATACATATTAAGGAATACGTTTTAAGGGCATTTATCTAACTCCAAACGGCTTTTGCTGTTGATGGGCAACATAAGGTCCATGAGTCACCCAGGACACATAATCACTGTGGCTAATAATCGGAGAAAACAGCTCTGCATCTAAGCAATTGTGTAATTTGATTTTGATAGGTCCTTGCCTAAGCCTATCCTTTTCCATGATGTGAGTGTCCTGGTGCCTCTGTCTCATGAATAACCAGAGTGAGTTCATTGTAAATGGAATATGAAATACTGTGAAACCCTGACTCCACCAAAGACTATGGTAAAACAGCCATTCTGCTCAGTGAGGACAAAATTTCACCTGCAAAGTCTAGCTCTGCCTAACTCCAGCAAATGAGATGACGACACTCGTTGGGCCAGCGTACACTTACGTCCTCAGTAAGCGAACAGGGTAAAATGCTTGCCAACCCAGCTGATACCACTCTTGAACACAAAGATACTTGTTTATGTCTTTGACATAAACAAGTCTCAGGTGCTTTATATTGTCTTATGCAATATATCTTTTTTATACCTCAGGCTAAATCCTGCTTTCAACAAAGTATTTCCAGCAAAGTCAGTGGGACCTTCCCCGAGTTGATACTGGAGAGAACAAGGAAGAATATAGGAGATATTGCTTACAAACTTTCTGAGTTTCTCCTGAGTGAGCTTTCTCACTCTCAGGAGTGAGAAAACTCCTGAGTTTTCTGAGCCTGTAGGGCTTTTACTTGTCAGCATTAGTAGCTATGCAAGGAAGTAAGGCAGCCTTCAGCTGTTTGGACCTACGACATCTGATGTAAAAAGAAAGAGTCCTGCTTGATCTTTGTGCTTAGGCCATAACCCCCAACTAGAACTGGTGAGGCAGATTATCTCAGCAGGCTGGGAAGTCTTAAAGGATTCCCAGCCACTGCTGGGACCATTCAGTTGAGTTACCCTGAAGATGCAGCCAATGTGCTGTTGGATTTTGAGGTTTGCTTGCTTGCTTGCTTGCTTGTTTTGAAAGACAGAGAGCGGGAGAGTGACAGAGAAGAAAGAGAAAATGCTTTTGGAGGAAGCATTAGCACACACAGCAGGTGACTAGGGAGTTCCGGTCCCTACTTCAAATCTGGCAGTATGGGGATATGAAAGTGTATCTTACAACTTGCAGGCCACGGCACTGAGATGCGCGGAAGAGTTAAGTTCTGCCCAGCTGACTTTTCTGTGTGTAGTAAGGGAGGCTGCATATACTAAGTAACCTTGGGAAGGCTTACGATAGTTTGGCAGAGCAACATACTGTGCAGGAATCCTGCGGCAGCTCCCTTGTAAAAAAGGCCTAACAGTATTACAGCTCGGCTGGTTTTACTCATGGCAAAAATGTAAATGTCTGAGCAACAAGGCAAAAGCTACGGGAGAAACTTTGAGTGCAATGGGCTTGGGAACTTAAAGTTGCCACTGTGTTTGGGCACAAAATCTTTGAGTAAATTTAATTCAGATTTTAATGCTAGCTGTGGTTGTTCATTCCGTCTGTAAATCAAGCCACCTAATTTTAGAAGACTAATATTAGACCCTCAGGTTTGAAAACTTTGACCTCAAGCTTTGTTTAGGATGTACGACTCTCATGCCAATTGCGGCACAGAGGAGAAAAAAAAAACAACATCTGGTCTGCTTTTATAGCTTCTACTGTAATGCATGGTGGCAAATCCATTTAACTAAGCTATACAAAAACATCACTTCAGCTTAATTATAAATCTGTTGCATATCATTCTGGTTTTTGAAAATGAATATGGATAAGCAGACTTACCTCTAATCTTTATTGATCCCTATCAAGAGATGAGCAGATGATGAACTTCAACCATCCAGTTCTGTTCTAGTGCATTTCCCATCTGTACAGAAATGGAAAAATATTTACTGTAATTAACACCAAACACTTCAACTAAATGACTGTGGTAGTAAGCAAAACGAAAAAGAAATGTAAGGAGGAAATCACATATGAGAAAACATTGTTCTGTATTGCCAAGGTCAGTAGGCACCAGAACAGAGAGGGGAGGAAATATGCTACTTCGTTTGGGTAGTGGGTTTTGTTCTTCCTCTTGGCTAAATGCGTAAAGGTGAGCACATTGCTTAACATCTAAGCGCTTCAGTTTTGTTGCCTCTTAAATGGAGATAATAGCTCTCTAGAATGGGTCTGTTTTTATCCTGATACTGTATTAGTGAGTAGAAAAAAAGTCATTGCAATGTTCCAGGTCGACCACTAAATTGGGGAAGACACACAACTAGAGGGCTGGAGAGCGGGTAAGATGCAAAAAGCCAGCATGCAGTTATGGGAGATTAAAATGGGAAATGATCCCTATCATAGGCTGCAAAGGTAAAGCATGCGTCAGCCTTCATTTCATGAGGGAAGGATCTCACTGACTTAGGTTATAAAAATCACAAAAACTTGAAATGGTACCTTGAAATTTCTGTCTGTGAGGAGAGTAAGGTCTTTCTGACAAATGCAAGGGTGCCCATTTATTGCATGTAGTTGACCAAGAATTCCCCACTGAGATCATGAGATTTCAGTTCCAGAGCTGTATGCGTCTCTGTTGGCACCTGTCATTCATTTAACCTGTCATTCCCATCTGCCCAGATTTGGAGAAAAAAGATCTCTATTCCCTCTGCTTTCTACTCATCCTCAATCGTCTGATGTAATTTATCTTCTCTATAAAATATCTTAAATGCAAGCAGCCCCATTAACACGATAACCATAATGATCTACAACCAGAGAAAATAGACCTTGGTCACTGTTGGCTTTGGTCTATCCAGACAGTGGTGAAAAGGAAATATGTATGAAAAGGGAGACTATTTTCAGCTTCCCCAAGAATAAGTACTATGAAGAGTTCCTTATCAGCTATTACTTAAATTGTCATAGGTGTCTGGACATTCAAGCCAGCCCTGGGGCCAATTAGCACCCGCTTGACTCCATATCTCTCAAGATCCTCTCCATTTGATGAATGCTATTTAGAAAATCACAGAAAGCAGCACAATGATTCTTCCTCTGGAGACAACAATGATCCCAGTACATTTATTAGTTCCTTGGAGAAGAAAATGTATACACATCTCTGTTTTTTCTTAATTTCTATAGCTGCAGGAGATCATTATCTTATTTCAATGTCCTATTTCCAAAGACATTCTGTTTTACAATCCTTTAAAATTCAAAATAACATGAAAAATGCTTATATACATTTATAGATATGGAATTTTATAGGTAACACTTTGCACGTTTAAAGTTACACAGTTTAAAAAGAAATCCACTGTCACTTATTCGTACTTGCTTGCTTGCATTACTTTTCAGCTTGGATAATATCAATTAAATGGTTTATGATTATTTCACATTGAATTTCACTCCAGGCTCCCTCTGCACTAGCATAGCTCTTCAGTGGTTGAGCGGCAGCAAATCCTGTAGGGATAAAGTTTATTTCTTTGTTGTAACACAGGGTTTCTTTTGGAATTTTTTTAAATTGCTCATGCCTGCTGATAGATCCTAGTCTTCGTCACAGACCCATTAACATGTAGGCCCTGATACTATAAAAGATGCCTTGGCAAGCCACTGCTCTGGCTTGGAGTCCCTTTCAACGTCAAAAAAATGAAATCCTGGCCCTGCTGATTGCCAAGAGCGAGGAATGAGTAAAAGAAAATAAGTTAGAAAATATAAGTAGCTGAAATGAGAATTTGGCCTTGCTGAATCGCCAAAATCCTGCCCCGTCTGGTGCATAAGTCATGGACAGAAAGTGATTTGCTATGTGGTCTCAGTCATACACTGCTCCATGCTCTCTGCTCCATGCTCTGGTCATCATCACTGCAAAACACATGGCTGCTCTTTTTATTAGAGCAGTATTCCTGAAAAAAAAGCGAGAGAGAAAAATCAATTGTATTACTCTTGTTTCTATCGCTAACTACCAGATGAAGACAGTGGCACTGAGAGCAGAGCGCAGACAACGGGATTGCAGTTTGTTGTCTCAGAACTAACTATACTGCAAAATTACAAAACAGTGGCTTGTGACTTGCAAAACTGCAAAACTGCAAAACTGCAGTGGTCTGCAGGACTGGGAATGAGGACTTGGTGCCAGTTCTGCCACGGACTTACTGGCTGGCCTAAGAGAGGTCAAGCAGTGCTGACACAGCTTGGATGAGACCTGGGGCAGAAGTACCCAAGGAGCCATACGGTGCTGCGTGTGCAGCTGAGCGCGGGGCTTGCTCCTCCCTCGTGCGGGCTGGCTCCTTGGGAGCAATGGCAGGGGTCAGAGCAAGGAATAGACGATACGTAGGTACGTACGTGTAACGCGGCACCGCTCGTTACTGTAAGCAGCTAAATTTTTAAAGAGCATGTTTCACCCTAATTTGAGACCACCTAGAAAATGTTGTGAGTGACTCAAGAAAGGGACATAGTAGGAATTTACCTTTTAAGAAATCCATCTTTATTTGCTATTGCAGAAAGAAGGCCCAGGACCAGGTCACTACGAAACAAAGAAAGAACGATCTCGCACTGTGTGCTCATGTTTCCAGTCGAAAGTACCCAGGATGCTGCCAGTCCGCTCAGTGAGTAATCTGAAATATTATCCGATAAATAGTGTGTCTCAACGGCCTGAAATTAATCACTCGGGGTCATCTCTAAAAGAAACAATTACGAAGAATCAGTTTCGGAAACATTTCCTGAGGCTGAGAAAGGTGAGACTTTGGCTGTGGAAAGAAAATACTTTTAGAGAAGGTTAGCTGGGCAGAAACAATGGGCTTCTGGCACTGAGTTTTCTGAGCGTTGGTGCAAGCATTTCAGCCATTTATGTAAATCCAGCTGAGGCTGGCAGCCTCTCAAAGCATGCTAGTCACGGGTATCAGCATGGTACGTAGCAAGAGGTTGGTTGAGACAGTTAAGCTTGAGAGATTTTTCTGATCTATGTATATATGTGAGAAAGGGGGAGGAGAGAGGCAGGCAGACAGATTCATCTTTTCAGGAAGGAAACTCAATTTTGTTGCTTTTCAGGAACAGGAGAGGCTGAGAAAAACCATGATAGCCTATGGGAGATAGGGAAAAGGACTGGACGCTTGCAGACGCATATCAGGATAACAATCTTGATGTAATGAAACTGTTAGGAACAAGAAAGAAAACAGTGGGTTTTCTTAAACAAACTTCTGGGACAGATTTCGCCCCTTTCCACCATTTCTGTTTTCGGGTTAACATACCCATAAATAGCACGGCCTTGTATTTTCAATAACATAGATGCAATGTTCTAGAAAACGTTTGCAACGAGTGGGCAGCTGTGCTGTGACCAGGCCCGCCGAATGCTCTTTCAGGCCCCAGGGCGAACGAAACAGCAGCCTTCTCCTCCTCACTCTGCAGTCACTCCCTTCCTTTTCCTCCCCCTGGACCCTCTCTCCTCACTCCTTAAGTTTATTAAAACCTAAATTTGGGCCCAAGCAGCTGCAAGCGACTGAAGCAGGCTGGAATGAGAGGGGATGAATCAGATAAGGGGATGGAGTAGTACTGGGGAGCAAGGTCCGTGATGTTGAGGGTCTCTCTGGTTTCTCTGGACTTCTCAACTTCCTTCTCTCACTGGGTTTGTTGGTGGCCACGCCTCACATACCTATCAGTCACTTCACTCTCACCTTGACTCTTATACTTAACCTTGATTTCGCAGAGATTTATGCCTGTGCTTCCCTCTAAGTGCATGAATCACTGAATTGAATCAATTGGGTTGTATATGCTTGTAAATATGCAAGCCCTGGAGATCTTCCTGGACATTGTTTCTGGGCTCTCTAACACTGGAGGCAGAATGGCTCAGTGGTGCGCTCAGATGGAAACGAAGAAGTATGGTGACCATGGGCAAGTCATTTCATCTTTCTGCAATCCAGTCTCCCCACACATATGTAGGGATAATGATACTGTCATCCTTTGAAGACTACTTTTGAGATCTCTGCGTGAAAATAGCTATTCAAAGATACACGGCACGGAGGCGCAGTCCTTCTCTGGAGGTTTCAGGTGCTTCTGCAACACGACACTCGAAAATGAGGTCTTTTTCTAGGAGTAATTATTTGGAGGTTTACTGTTTGTTCCTCTCTCATTTTTTTGATATTTCTTGTTTTTTTTCCATTTGTACAGGATACACCAGGGCCTGGAGCCTATGAACCCACAAGACAGTTTCCAAAGCAGCCACGAACTATCGCGAGCTTGGGTCAGGAGCACAGCATCTTCTTCAGCACTCCAACCGCGTTTTAGAATAAAATATCAGCATGACAATTTATAAACTACTGATTCTGAGGGAAGGCAATGCCCCGTCTCTCCAGACACTTTTTCTCCTCATATCGGACTTGCTGTATATGACCTACCTTTGCCAAAAAGCAATAGATACCCCAAAGAGCATATTTATTTCCTGCTCTCCATCCAGAGAAAAATGGGGTCAATGTTGGCAAAAACTGACTTTTTAATAGGTGGCATTGTGCTCTTGGTGCAAGGATACTGTGAGAATTGGTGCCACATAATGCATTGATGGTAGGAGACCTTCCTGTTCCTAACAGGCCTGATATAGCCTTTGCCAAGAGCCAGGCACCTGGGAGGCCTGCTCAGCCTAACGAGGGGAGGCTGCTTTCAGCTGGAACAAGTAGGGAAGAAAAAAGCCTATTTTCCTCAGCTGGCTGGGGGAGGGTTTGCTCTTGTTGTGAGGCCCTGATGGGAAGCTCCTTTTTGAAGGCAAGAGAAGGCTGTAGAGAGTCATGGCTCAGAGCAAGGTGTGCTGTCAAAAGCTGAGTGGTTGTGAGGTTGGGTAGTGTGTGTGTGCTCTGTGTAAGGGAGGAGGTGGAGGGTCTGCATGGTGATAGAGGGACTGTCTCTGCAGAGGGGAGGCAGCTGGCTCCAGGCACTTGCTTGGAGAGGCTGTCCTGGTGTGGGCAGCGGGGCCAGGGCTCTGCAAGTGTTTGTGCTGCTCGACATGGAGGGTGGGAGGGAAACAAGGGAGCTGGGAGGGGACTAGAAAGGGAGAAATCTGAGAGGAAGCTGGGCAGAAATGGAAAGTGAAGCAGGCAGCTCAGGGGAAGGGAAATCATTTAGGATGTGGGGTAGGGGAGAGGTTGAAGAAGTGCTCTAAAAAAAAAAAAAAACGGAACAACCTTGTGGCAGGGCAGGTAGAAACCAACCTGATGAAAAGAAACAATGATTAGCTAAATGTTAATCTGAAAAGAAGGCTCTAAAAACTAAAGGAAAGTCCTAATTTGACAGCACTGAAAGAAAGGATCAAGCTATGGAAATGTATTTTCTGGCACTAATTCAGGATTGTGCTTAGATCAATGAATAATTTAAAGCGGTGAGCCATATGTGTGTGAGTTAAGTACCTTTTGGATTTGGGGGATCTGGTGGGAGTGACACTCCCTGCACTGATCAGGTTGCTAAAGTGTTTTTAATTCTGTCTTTGCTCCTTCTCTGGCACTTACAATTGCTTTTAACTTTTTGAAATTCAACATACTGAGCTGAACTCTTCCAGACAGTTTCCTTTTGAAGCTGGCTTCATGCATGTAGACTCAAGGAAACCCAGTTCAGCCATTTCACAGCAGGAGTGGCTGTTATTCCCTTGTTCTGGTTTTAAGTGTTTCAGAAATGCTTTTTAACTATCACAGCTGTCTTGCAAGGTGCAAGGACCCTCCTTCCTGAGGCTTCTAAGACTGAACGCTTCACAGGGACGTAAAGTTTACTTTTGGGGATTTTAGTCACTTTTTGGAGTAGCCCTAAAAATACGGGGTGGGTTGTTCATGAAATGCTCCCCGTGTGCTGTAGGTATGTGGGTGTGCGTTCCCAGAGAGGGCTGAAGTTTTATGTTTCTGCTTAGATGAGTGAAATAAGTGATATGGCCGTAATACGACAAGTAAAGCAGGGCACAGTCGAAGGAAAGTATGGAATAAGCTTAAATGAAGTACATAAATCCATTGTGTATTGAATTCATCACTGTTCCTCTTTGCTGAATCTGAGAGCGTTACTGAATTTCACTAAACTCATGATTAGATTTGTAGTCTAACAAATGGTTGCTGGTCTGAGGCACTGTTGGGGGGGTGGGGGGTGGGATTTGGTTTTATTTGTGCTGTTTCCTGCTGCCGGTAGCATAGTTAGGAGGAGGAAAGGCAGAAGGAAGGAGAGAGACGCTAGAGCAAATGTCGTCGGCTACCCAGCACGGTGTGGGGCTTGGGCACCTCTCAGGTGGAGGTGCGCTGTGAAAACAAACCCTGGGGACTGGGCGTGTCCGGTAGCACCGAGTTTCTGGAAGACATATGTCAGGAACTGGGTAGTAAAGCTTGCTGGGGCTATTTATAGAGACCAGACGCTTTTGGGTGAGATCAGGGGAAGTGATGTGGTTGTTTGACTGCTCAGCCTGGCATAGAGGGGAACAGAGAAAAGTCGTGGAAAATCCGGGGCTGTGTTCGTGGAGGGGTTGGTAGGATGGGAGCACGTCATGCTGTTCTGTCATCAGCAGAGACCTTTCTGGAAGTGTTTTATTCATATGGCTCCTGGTGCTCCTCAGGCAAGAAGAGCTTTCCGCGAAGTCTTGTGGCCGAGACTGTCTTGGGAAACACCAAACGAGCTCTGAAAGGCGATGCACGTGCTGCGTTTTCATTTGACAGTTGAACACGTAGGGTAGCTTTGGAGTCCTGCGCACGACTGTCTCATCTGCCTTAGCAATGCTCGTGCTGCTGATGACGTAAGTACAGTGTCTATTTGCTAAGAGAGGGAAAATCCCATCTGGACTCAGCTGTTGCTTCGCATCTGTCTTGGGTGGTGCTGCTTTCTTGGCCGATGTGAGGAGGGCCTGCATCAGGCCTGGTGCCCTGGGTAACACTGAAAGAAAGCGAACAGAGGTGGGTGCAGGAGGAGGCTGCGGGGTGCTGCTGGAGGAAGAGCCACCGCCGCGAGCGGAGCCGCGTGCAGCAGTCGCCACCCCACGCAGGGAGCCCCCCCGAACAAGGGATGGCGTAACAGAAAGAGGAGAACTGCGAGAAAGGAAGGAAGCTGGGGGAAAACCATGTCTTTTTCCCTGTGAAGTTCCTTGGTGGCTCATGTGGTGCTTTCCACCTTGCCAGGAGTGGAGGTGGGTCTCCCCCGCCCACACCCAGGGGGAAAACTAATTGTATGTGTTGTTTCTTTTTGTAATGGAAAGATCTCTGCAGAAAGAGGGTGGAGCAGATGGGTGGAGCTGCCTCAGAGGAAGTAAAGACAAATGGCGAAATGCAGGAGTGGGAAAGCCACCCTTACCAGGCATGGTAAATCTCCCTTTGATTGAGAAACATCAAAGCAGAAAGCTGTACTATCTACTGGTATTTCTTGCTACAGGAAGACTTTGGGCTATCACCAAAGGGTTGCATCCACCCAGAGGACACTTGTCCTCCATGTTAGGTGGGACTGGTAAATGTTTGAGTCCCTGTGCTACCTGTCCCTGGGATGAGCAGCATCTTTGCACTATCCATGCAAATTCTTTGTGGTGACATTGTAGGCTCTGGTAATCAGTAACTAGCTAAGGATCTGAGATAAAATAGTGGTTTTAGTGCACTTAGGCACATGGGAATCATTTTAAGTATTGGCAATACTGCGATCTAGTGCGAGTCAACCAATTTTGCCAGCGCCCTGCTTGTAATCTTTGCAGCACAGGCTTCTTGAGGGATGAGGGAAGAGACTTGCTGTTGGGGACTGCACGCTTGCCTGCAGTTCTGTGGAGATATTAAAGAAACACAACTTCTATTTTAGTCCCCTTCTGTGCCCTGTTGCACATCCAAGGACAAGTTGCATCCCCGTTCTCTGTTAGCAACCCCAGCCGTTACCTAGTTAAACTGTAAACACTCAGGGAAAGGACCCTGCAGTTCTACAGTGCCTAGCACAGACGAAATCCAATCTCAGATCAGACTTTGGACTCTCCTGCGATCTGAATAATCTAAAGGTCATTGCTGCTGCAGAGATTGGATGAAAGTTGCATCCTTAGGTAGAGGAGAGCTTAGGTGGCCAGCTGTTTCTGTGTTGTGAGCTGTGTAACGTGCAAGTTGTCTGATACCACATTTTTGTAGATCCCTGTATGGAATAGATTGATCCGCACTCCATTTAAATGACAGCAATAAAGTGCATGTTGAGGAGTCTGACTATACGTAGGTGTCCTTTTGGGCAGATGAATTATGTGCAATTTATTAGTTTGAGAAGGTGCAAAGGGTTCTTTGTTTGGTTTACTGTACCCTGTCAGACTTGCCAAACAGAGTTGCTGATAAAAGGTCTTCCTGACAGACCCGTCTTTCAACCATTCTGCGATTCTGTGAGGTTGGAAGAGACCTCTGGAGATCATCTAGTCCAACCTCCCTGCTCATGCAAGGTCACCTACAGCAGGTTGCGCAGGATTGTGTCCAGATGGCCTTTGAATATCTCCAAGGATGGAGACTCCACCACCTCTCTGGGCAACCTGGCCCAGTGCTCTGTCACCCTCACAGTCAAGAGGTTTTTCCTCAGGTTCAGACGGAACTGCCTGTGGTTCAGTTTGTGCCCGTTGCCTCTCGTCCTGTCGCTGGGCACCACGGAGAAAAGTCTGGCCCCATCCTCTCGACACCCTCCCTTCAGATACTTGTACACCTTATCAGATCCCCTCTCAGTCTTCTCTTCTCCAGGCTCAACAGGCCCAGCTCTCTCGGCCTTTCCTCATGTGAGAGGTGCGCCAGTCCCTTCATCATCTCAGTAGCCCTCTGCTGGACTCTCTCCAGGAGTGCCATGTCTCTCTTGTACTGGGCAGCCCAGCACTGGACACAGTACTCCAGGTGAGGCCTCCCCAGGGCTGAGGAGAGGGGCAGGATCACCTCCCTCCACCTGCTGGCAGCACTTTTCTTAGCGCAGCCCAGCATGCCACTGGCCTTCTTGGCCACAGGGGCACGTTGCTGGCTCACGGTCAAGCTGTTGTCCACCAGCACTCCCCAGGTCCTTCTTGGCAGAGCTGCTTCCCAGCAGGTCAGCCCCCAGCCTGTACTGCTGCCTGGGGCTATTCCTCCCCAGGGGCAGGACCCTGCGCTTGCCTTTGTTAAACTTCTGGAGGTTCCTCTCCGCCCACCTCTCCAGCCTGTCCAGGTCCCTCTGAACGGCAGCACAGCCTTCTGGTGTCAGCCACTCCCCCCAGTTTAGTATCCTCAGCAAACTTGCTGAGGGTGCACCTCTGTGCCTTCCTCCAGGTCATTGAGGAATACATTGAACAAGACTGGACCCAGCACTGACCC